TTTTTGCTCAGTTTCCGGCTCTTCTTATATTTCTTCTTCCGTTCCAAACATATAAAAAACATCGATATTTTAATAACTAGGGCTTCAAATATTCTAAAACTCGGTAAGCTGATACATCGATACATGAAGAAGTGAACATTTGTCTTTTTGTCTGACACAAATGTAAACCAATATTTTAATGGGTAAAAATTGGTAAAAATAAAGATGCATTTAAAGCCCCAAATCGAACTGGATAAACCGCTTAAAATTTAGAAACACGTTCGAACTCGGAGGGGGTAGAAAAAATAGTTACGAAAGCTTTACCCACACAATCGAAAGGCCTTGAAAATGCAAAATGACTACACCAATACTCATTCATTGTCCTTAGTACCACATGTTGCCGCAGAGAAGGATTTCCAAATAAGGTGGTGTAAATAGCTACTTCAGACGAAGCCGCATGAGACTAATTAAGGAAACGTATACAAACATGTGACGAAATGTAACATGCTACTTTAGCCTCCAATATGCTGTCAACATGCTGGCAAGCTAGCTGAAAGGTATTTACAGTGTTCGCTTTTTTATTATTCTTGTTATGTTTTTTTAGTCATTTTATACAAAGGACAGTAAACAATAAACATGCTGCAATTTTTGCTAAGCACTACTCATTTTTTTTATTTCAACATGCAAAAAAATACAATACATAGTGGTGACGCACTCAAGCAAAATGCTTATATTCACGTCATCGCTAGAAATAAAATAAAACGTACATCACAAAACATGGGTCTCGTCCAGGTAACAAGAAAAAAGAGTTTAGCTATTAAGATATTATAAATTAATACAGAAGTATAAGTCAGTTGTTAAATCATTTAGTTTCAGAGAGATATAGCTGTGTAATAATGAGTATTTAAGAGTTGACTTTAGATAAAAGCAAAGGTGATCCATTAAGTAGCAGATACACAGTAGCACTATCGGATACGTTTTTTAATATCTAAGATGTTTTTAATTGTAAAAGTCTGTCGAGGAGGCGAAGTACTCATTCAATAATAAGAAGAGTATGCGAGGTTTTCAGAATTTCTATCAGTGGGATATACCCCTTCTGCAGTGACCCTGAGAGTAAAATTGAATATACTAAACAATCCTCAAATGCATTACTCTTTCCAGCACCAATTCATGCTTTTCAAAGAAAAAGAGATAATAATAGAAATAGAGACGTGTCAAGCAAGCTTGTCATAAAAACACTGTGATGAAGGTATTGATGGTAGAAACGTCCCGCCATCTTTACCAAGAAAAAAGTCTCGAAGTTTGTTTTAATTGTTTATTTAACCGACCTCCATTAGTTTGTACAGACTGAGTTTCCATACATACTAATCTTCCTGGAGTCGTTATACACATATACTACTACTACAACGTGATGAGGCTTAACTACATACTACTAACGTTACAACATTGCAAGGCTACATACTACTAACGTTACAACATGGCAAGGCTTAACTACATACTACTAACGTTACAACATTGCAAGGCTACATACCACTAACGTTACAACATGGCAAGGCTTAACTACATACTACTAACGTTACAACATTGCAAGGCTTAACTACATACTACTAACGTTACAACATTGCAAGGCTACATACTACTAACGTTACAACATGGCAAGGCTTAACTACATACTACTAACGTTACAACATTGCAAGGCTACATACTACTAACGTTACAACATGGCAAGGCTTAACTACATACTACTAACGTTACAACATTGCAAGGCTTAACTACATACTACTAACGTTACAACATTGCAAGGCTACATACTACTAACGTTACAACATGGCAAGGCTTAACTACATACTACTAACGTTACAACATTGCAAGGCTACATACTACTAACGTTACAACATGGCAAGGCTTAACTACATACTACTAACGTTACAACATTGCAAGGCTTAACTACATACTACTAACGTTACAACATTGCAAGGCTACATACTACTAACATTACGACATTGCAAGGCTCATAACTACATACTACATAAACACACACAACATGCAAGATGTACCGAGAGGTCAGAGGTCTTGTTATGAATTAAAAATTCATATTTACACTTTGTATAGGCGTTACTTCTACCACCAAGCTTGTAAGGGTTTGGAGTTTCTTAAAAGAGAGACAAAGAGAAGAAAGAAGAGAACAGGAAGCACGAAGGTAATTTTGAATTGAGTTCAGGTCAAAACATCGAGAATAATGAAGATATGTCTAGTAAACATTCCCCACTACCATTGCCCACAAGCAAGTATGAAAATGTGGATCCGGCTGGTAAAAGTATCATTGCTCTAAGTTCTGGGCTGCAACGCAACGCACTCAATGCTCCCCCGCTTCGCCATCTTGAGATGGGAGACAAAGAAAGGGACCAGGTCGGCAGAAGGAATGAAGAATCGGATAGAAAATACGAAGATGTGGATCCAGCTGGTAAAAGTATCTTCATGTTAAGTTCTGGGTTGCAACGTACTGCACCAGATGTCCCACCGCCTCGCCATCTTGACATGGAAGACAAAGAGAAAGACCAGGTCGGCAGAAGGAATGAAGAATCGGACAGAAAGTATGAAGATGTGGATCCGGCTGGTGAAAGTATCTTTATGTTAAGTTCTGGGCTGCAACGCACCGCACCCGATCAACCCCCACCTCGCCATCTTGACATGGAAGACAAAGAAAAGAATCATGTAGGCAGAAGGAATGAAGAATCGGACAGAAAGTACGAAGATGTGGATCCAGCCGGTGAAAGTATCTTCATATTAAGTTCTGGGCTGCAACGCGCTGCACCCGATGTTCCCTCACCTCACCATCTTGACACGGAAGACAAAGAGAAGGACCAGGTCGGCAGCAGGAATGAAGAATCAGACAGAAAGTACGAAGATGTGGATCCGGCCGGTGAAAGTATCTTCATGTTAAGTTCTGGGCTGCAACGTACCACACCCAATGTCCCACCGCCTCGCCATCTTGACATGGAAGACAAAGGAAAGGACCAGGTCGGCAGCAGGAATGAAGAATCGGACAGAAAGTACGAGGATGTGGATCCGGCTGGTGAAAGTATCTTCATGTTAAGTTCTGGGCTGCAACGCACCGCACCCGATGTCCCACCGCCTCGCCATTTTGACATGGAAGACAAAAAAAAAGGTCGGCAGAAGGAACGAAGAATCGGACAGAAAATACGAAGATGTGGATCGAGCCGGTGAAAGTATCTTCATGTTAAGTTCTGGGTTGCAACGCACTGCACCAGATGTCCCACCGCCTCGCCATCTTGACATGGAAGACAACGAAAAGGACCACGTAGGAAGAAGGAACGAAGAATCGGACAGAAAGTACGAAGATGTGGATCCGGCTGGTGAAAGTATCTTCATATCTGCACCCGATCAACCCCCACCTCGCCATCTTAAAAGGGAAGACAAAAGGAAGAAAAAAGTGGACGGAAGAAAAGACGAATCTGACAGAAAGTACGGATTAGTGGATCCGCATGATAAGAACAAACAAACGTGTAAAAAGTATGAAGACATGGATCCAGAGTCTGGCGGTGTCGATGTAATAATAAACTCTGGATTGAAACGTCCTGTGCCGGACCTTCCCCCTCCTCGCAACCCTGACCCTGGAGACCACATGGCTGGGTATACGCCAAAGTAACCCACGCAACTTCTACGGTAACGTAAGGAAATAAGCTGTAACAGATATAGGATAGATTTGTGAAGTATTGGCGTTTTATTGTAAAAAGACATCCAAATTATTTTTACATGCAAACAATTGGGAAGCCACAAAAACATTATCATCATCATTTTTTTCGTAACAGATTGATGTAAAACGGCAAGTCGACAGAACAATCAATATATTGCATGCAACAAATTGCATACAACAATTTACACAACAAATGTCACCTAATGTCTAAAATACACAAATTCATTAGACACATTGCAGTCATTAACGTTTGTGGCATGGAAGCTACTGTATCAAACGCTTAGATTTTGAACATGCTTTGTTATAAAAAAACTAGAGGGAAGTATGAGTCCTGCTGTGTATCACATTAATAACGCTGAAAGGAGAAGTGTTTATAGTGTGACATTTTATAATGATGTTGTCTTCGTGCCAAAGTGTTTTATAAAGCTTTTGCGTCAGGTACTTTCAGATACTGTTACCTGTCCTGTTTTCTGTGATCATGAACTCCAATGTTATTCTTTCAATTTATCGGCGATCTTACCGACTTTTTCCATTACATCCACATGTCTTGTTTCTTTAAGGGCATTCATTAGCCATTGTATTGTAGCGAGCTTTCCTTGCTGTTTTTTCCATAGATGCTGTATGGTTCTCATGCAGGCCGTGCAGTCCCCACGTTCCTTCTTGTCGATTGAGTTAATGTCGGTTGATGTGAACTGAAGGCGTCGGGCAATCTCTTCCCAATCATCCCGTGCGTTCTCTACGACTACGTCGAAAGCTTCGTTTAGCGCTGGCGAGGGGGCAAATGGTTTTGAGTTGAAAATGGGCGAAAATCTCTAATCAAACAAACATAAAGCGTCCCTTGTTTGGAGACTCCATCTAGCTCTTTTTCCTAATCAAACTCAATACTAGAAAATAGCTAGTCATAGTAAAAAGTTGAACTTTATTCCAACACAAAAACACAAAGTAATCATTATCAAAAATGGAGGTAAAATACTGAATTCCGTCTGTTCTCACATCTCCTATTGCAGCTACTTTACCGTATTCCGAACAGTAAAGAGAAAACGTGGTTTTACTATCATAATAAAAGACTTGCAGTATAGATACACATATTTCATTTCACTTCCTTTGTCAGGCGTATTACATGTACAGCAGCAATGCATATCATTTTGGTTGATACGAACTTCATATGTTCTTCTTACCTTCTTCATGAAGGGTCGCTCTATCCTTTGTTGGCTCAGATGAAAACTTCTCTTCTTTGGTTTTCTGGACAACAGAATATTTCACAAGTTCAATACTAGAAAAATAGCTTGTCATATTTCATCGTCTATAACTGCACATGTTCAAATGATTGTTAACAAGGTGATTATTATCAAGAATAAAGGTAAAATAATGCCGTCTGATCTGACCAGATCAATCGAAATGTGATGCAAAGAGTAATTCAATGAACAAGGAAATCAAAAGGCATTGGACTACCTTAGAACTACTGAAAAATATCTTTATCAGAGCTGCAACAAAATCCACATTTACCATCTTTTTCGCGAGTCGCTCTGATCTCCTGGTCATGGACTGCTGTGAGGTAGATGGCTCATCTTCCTGTGATAAATAAAAAAAAAGTAGACAATAAGAATTAAAAAAATACATATTTCTGTATTATAAAAGTGCTTTGCATTTTAATAACAGTGAATATCCGGTTTATCTAATGTATTCGCAATATCATGAAAGTTCATCTGTGTTGGTAGTAATCATTATAGTAAAACGTTAAACTATATTCCAATATGTTGAAAACTTATGATAGCTATTATGATAAGAACTTAATCAACACACAACGTTTTAGATTATTTTAGCTGCAATATACAAACATAAAAGGGTATAAAGCAAGGCTAAAAGAGATCTTGCCTATAATAATACCTTTGAAATGACAAAGGCAGATAAAATAATGTCTCTCCTAACCCTAAAGAGGTTTCGTTTCACAGGGCTTTGACTGTACGCGTCTGGGTTGTAGATGTTGCTTTTAAAGTCCTTTCGACCGGACGCTGGCGTTGTTGGAGATATTACATTTGCAGGCTGTATAAAAATAATGCATAATGAATACATAAATTATGGATAAGGTATGCATTTTGATATAGTTGACTGCGGGGTCGAAGTTAAAGGGACATTATGTAGCATTTTTTGCACCAAAAGTTGAAATATATGAACTTCGTGTGATTGTAATCTACTTCTTCTTTTCTACATACTTATGGTTATGAATAGAGTATGGTTGGCGTTAAAACATTCCATACGAATTGAGAATGAATAAGGGGATTGATCGTATCTCAAAACAATTTCAAGGGTGAAGCTGCCAAATATTTTAACATATATTATTGTTCGAATTCTCTAATGTATATTTAAAAAAAACAGACAAGCTACCATGGAAAGAATGGTCCCTGCTTGGTGTAGGTCGGCCCAACACGGCCTCAAGCATCTGCAGAAAATAGATTCGAATATAAGTACATTCACCGACTAGGTCATTTTTTTATTCCAACATATAATCACAAGACGTGGTAACGGCACACTCAAGTTTTTTAAACTTATATTTATGCCGCCACCAACATACAGGAGAATACAGTACTCATTTTCACCTGAGTGAAGTGAGGAAAGTCGCATTTCCCAAGGGCACAAGATTGGTGGCATGGCAGGGTTCGAACTCGGGTCTTCTTGGTTCCGATTCGAACACTCTACCGTTGCGCCACACGACCCCACGATAAACATAACAATAGGTCAAATTTATGAGATTACTGCGAATTCCATGACGATAAGGCTTGAGAGATGTTTTTCTATTCTTACTCCAGGATCTCGTCCCGACAGGAAGTCTCCGTACTCTTGCAGTAGACCCTTATTTTCCGCTCCAGCATGTTTTTGGGGAGTACACGTGGCTCCTGTTGATTGAAAAAAAGAGTGCCCATGAATATTTTAAGTCGAATACACTGAAAGCTAGCTGAACACGCCTATATGGTCGCTAGACTATAGGCGTGCCAAATACCACCTTGTTGGTAAAATGACGTCTTAAATGATCATTGTATCCTTTTATGTTTCTTGTATATTTGGTAATATATCTTATATTATTATAATCATTTGTACAAAGGAACTAAATGTAGCTTTAGAAAAACTTGCCATCTAAGGATATTAAATCCAATCCATCCTCCTCATCACGCAAATGAAGTCATGTTTCAACGTAATGAAAAATTATGCAAGATAAAACAACTTAAATGTGGCGATAGGTCTGATAACGCAGTGTAAAGATCGAATTACCAAAATACCTGTTCCTCTCTTAGGAAGAATGGCACGTTTGGCTCAGTCTTGGTGAAGAAGTGAACATTTCGCAGGGGCTCCTCTCTATTCACGCCATAGTCGAAGCGAACGGTCTAAGTACGTGTAAAATGCGATAAACATCTGAGAAAGTCTTTCGTCTTCAATGTAAACTGAATTTATATGTATATATACATTAGTTACGTAACATATGGTGAAAAATGAATGAATAGCGAACCTCAATGTAAGCCATTTCTGCAGGGGAGTCTAAATCTGTAAGGGCCCTCCATGTTCTTTGCAAAATCTCCTCCTGTAAGGTATGAAGTTGAGTAGATAGATTATCATCTGAATAGTATCTTTACAATTCGGTT